AATGTTATAGCATACGTACGTTAAATTCAAGTTTCCTGATGGACACATGGTGAGCAGGGTTTTTTTTTCATCTACTTCTCCAGCGTGTTTGGTCTTGATGGTCACATGGTGAGCAAGGTTCTTTCTCTTCTTTTTCAGTGTGGCCGGTCCTTAATGCTACAGACATGTGGGCAGCTGGTTGCTAAATTCCCTAGACAGGCTATGGAAGACCCGTTCAACCAGCGGCTATTTTGGGGTTGAGTGCTACATTTCTATTGGTTAAACACAATGGACTTGTCTTTTTTTTCAACCTGAGAAAATATGTATCTTGTAATTGGTCCCTAGGTCAGAAAATCAGGACACCACATCCCATCTTAGAGCTACGACATATAAAACCAAACTTTTGGGAGTTCGTAGGTGTCAATATGCATTAGTATGACCATGAAAATACCAACAAAAAATAATCAAAAACAGGGGGTGCCTTCCCTGGTGTAGATACATTTTTTATTGAGCAAATAGCAAAATAAAATAATACTCACAAAAGAGTAGTATTCTATTTTGTGAGTATTATTCTATTTTGCTATTTGCTCAATAAAAATGCATCTACACTAGGGAAGGCGCCCCCTGTTTTTGTTTATGTTTTATCAGATATCACAGTCTCCCTGCCTGATGTGGGGCAGCGACCTGCAGAACTTCTGTGTGCATATGTCTTCAGTGGAGTGGTCGACTCCAGCGCTATTGGCTTTTATTTTCATGAAAATACCAACATACCACTTAGTTCGAGCCGACCTGTGACAATGAAACTGTCACAGGTCGGTTCTATTGATCGGGAAGTGAGCGAATGCATACCGTCGCTCACTCACTTTCCGATCATCTCCTTGCAGAAAGCGGTGACTAATAATCCCGCAGGAATTCCCCCCTCCCCGCACCGATCCTCCAGCGCTGACTGGAGAAACAAACGGGGGAGGGGGCGGGCACATCTGGCTCTGCCTCTAGATAGGCAGAGGCAGCTGTCATTCACACATCTGGGTGGATCTCGACAGCATTGTCGGGATCCGTCCTGGCTGCGGCCGCTGAGTATAGCAATAGCTCGCTATATACTGAGCTTTGGGTCACGGGAGGACGCTAGTATACGGTAATATAGTAAAAAGGTTACCCCATAGTTCTCTTTTAAGTAGAACATTTTCATAGGTATCTGAACATCAGTCCAAAAAGAGGGACAGCTGAGGAGGAAAGAGGGAAAGAGGGTTCTGATTCCAAATGAGGGACAGTTGGGAGGTATGAAATCACCAGTCCTGCCCTCTTGCATCACCCATGCTCAATGTATAAATTTACCTTTTGTTGCTTTTCCACGGAGGCGTAGTACTTTGACCACCAATCAATGACATTTTCTGCAGATTCATCAGCAATCGTCCTCTTCTTTCTTTTTGTTGAACGCCTGGTGAAACCTCTCACTAACTCCTGTACAGAGAAGAAAAATGGGCGTTAATGCAGAGGTGGCAAAAGCTGGCAAGACCTCACCTCCACGTTCTATGCAGTGCTCTACAATCCTAGATTTTCACCTCTTCAGACAAGCATATAATTCCATAGACTCCATACTAGTCCCGAGGAAGTGACTTAGAGTACAGGTTCAGCATCACTGCCCTGGACTCATTATGCGAAACAAGAGTCAGGAAATGGCCTCAACATAATTGCTCAAACTTCATGACAGGCAAATAAGGCAGTTAAAAAGTCTTGTTGGGATGGATAAATAGAGAGTATTGCAAAGACTGGGGACTAAAGGCTGCTGAAGGTCACTTCAGTGCTCGTCTGAAGGCTAAGGCAATTGGTCACATGATCTGGATCCACCAATTTGAACTCTGATCCATTCTTCTAGTCAGGATAACAGGACCAAACTCCTAGGCCTTTAGATATGTGACCAACACTCGGGGAGGACTTGAAGCAGCATTTTCTCCAGGAAAGGTACAAACTTCAGATGTTTTATTATTCTTTATTTATCCATCCCAAAAAAATTTGTCCAACTCTAGCCAAAAATGTTTTGGAGGAGGGTTAGAATATTATGTTTTTATTGCTACCTGTGACCTCATTGAAGAGTTTTCCCCTCAATGCCTTGCCCTGTGACACCAAGGCAAGAAATTAAGAAAACAAGCATCACATGGATAGATCCAAAAATGCATGCACTGCTCCAGGTGGATCTGTGCTCAATACCCCAATCAACACTGCCACTCCCCGAGCCACCACCATGCTGTCCTCAGGTGTGGCCCACCCATGTAAATAATTTTTCAAGCTAGTGCATAACAAGGAGAATACCACATTCTGGACTGGAGGAGACATCTTTATTCATCACAGTAATATATGACCTTCTGTGTTCTGTGCTGTTTATAGTGCTTTCTCAAAGAGTCACAGCAAAAATAAATGACAACATTTCTTACCTTCCCCATACTACTAAAACAAAAAAAGGGCTTTTGTTGTCTTTTCTGTCCCCACTGAAACCCTCTGGCTTTAGCCCAGGAACGCCATATAAATTACTGAGATTCAGAGAGTTCCTCTGGCCCGCCTGTGACGGCAGTAGTGACATAAGGAGACAGAGCGGAGCTGCCCTCTATCTCTCCTCTAAGCCCACTAAAAGAAACTGTGATTGGGGGCTCAATTAGAGAGCTTTACCTGCACTTCCTGTCCTGCTGACAATGGTTTTACCATACAGGAAGGGAAAGAAAATTTGCAACAAGAATACAGACAGAAGTAAAAATCTGACAGGGGTTCTAGCCTTCCCCTACTCTATAAAAAAAACAAAATTTTTTTCTGTCTGTGTTGCTGTTGGAAGGTTACACTCACTTCCTGTCTGGTAAAGCGTGGACAGGAAGCAAGAATAAATCTCACTAACGATGCCCTGGAACATTGGCCTAACAGAGGTTCCAATCCTTCCAAACTCTATTCATCAAAATAATATTTTGCCCGGACATACACTTTGATCTTACCATCTTACAAGCCCCTATAATGGACCAATGTTTATATCTTGCTGTAATAAAGAAGAGGAATCAGGCACATATGACTGTTTTTCAGCAATATATGGCTGGAACCAGAATGCCAATCTCTCTGCTTTCCTTCCCATAATCTCTTGGAATGGTAAACATGGAGCTGTTGCTTTACAGTAAGTTAGTTCTTATCACTTTGCACAAAGCTAGATACAGCCCATTTCCTCTGGGAAAATGGGCTAACACTGGGCAAATTACCATGAAATAGCTTTATATAACTTAAAGAGAACCAAACTCAACTGAGCGTATGCAAGCATTTGAATATTCATTATTACATTTTTAAAACTGTTTAAAGTGACACTAAACTCAGGGGGGAAATCTATAAAATTACATTCGATCCACAATTTGATCCTCAAATCATCTCTGAATTGGTGCGGACACTGTCTTTCCTTCTGGAGGGAGGCTACCTTTGTTCCTCATGGTCCCTGTGTGTGTTGTGAAGAAGTCACCGCTCCAAGCTCATTCTTGTGGTGGTCTACAATCTCATGTTTAGTTTACTAATTTGTATCTGAGATTGTAGTCCATCACATTATGTGTACATAATTACTGTAGCTAACAGAAAGTAATTCATAATAAATTATTTTATTTGTCCTGATTTATAGGGTATATCATATGTCTGGGATTTCAGTAAATCAAATTTTGATTTAACTCTTTAGTGAATGGGTAGGGGTACAAGTATCCCTTAATCATTCACATGGGGGGCGGCATCTCGGTGCCCCCTTATTTAAAGGGGTACCCCGATGCAAATAAGCCCCCTTGCCCGCAGACCCCCACAACCACCGGGTCAGGGTTGTGGGGAAGAGGCCCTTGTCCCCATCGGCATGGGGACACCCTCCCAATGCCGAGGGCACGTGGCCTGGTAAGGCGCAGGGAG